TTATTACTTGTTGTTACTAACAGGCACATTTGATTTGGTTCCACTAAAAGTTTCTGTCATCTATTAAACTATGAAACTAATGACTATAGCATATAACAGGTTTAATTACATATATTGATTCTAAAGTGTTAAAAAAGTCACTATTAAATAAATATAACACAAGAAAACTGAATATTCCGTGTTCATGGATTGTAAGAATCAATACTGAAATTGACCATACTACACAAAGCAGTGATTCAATGCAATCCTTATCAACATTTCACTGACATTATTTAAGGACATAAAACAAACACTGATAAAATTTGAATGGAACCACAAAACTCCCCAAATAGCCGAAGCAATTATGAGAAAAAAATTTGTGTTAAGGGGTGAGGTGTATAATCAATTCCCTGACTTTAAACTATACCACAACCCTACAAGCAATCAAAACAGTATGGTATGGAACAAAAGCTGACTTTCAGGAACAAAAGCTGACTTTCAGAGCAGTGAAATAAAATTGAGAACCCAGAAGTAAATCTAAAGATATATGAACAATTAATTTACAACAAATATATTACGTCCAAGCATCTTCAACAAATGGTGTTGGGAAAAGTAAATTGTCTTTTTTTTCCCACTTTTTGGGTGACACAAGGTGATGCACAGGGATTGCTCCTCGCTCATGCACTCAGGAATTACTCCTGGTGGTGCTCTTGGGACCATATGGGATGCTGGGATTTGAACCGGTGTCAGCAACAAATCAGAGAGAGAAATATATAAATAGAGAGTGGGTACACATAAATATATGCCTCTTGGAGAGCCCGGCAAGCTACCGAGAGTATCCCGCCTGCATGGGCAGAGACTGGCAAGCTCCCTGTGGTGTATTTGATATGCCAAATACAGTAACAACAACAGGTCCCATTCCCCTGACCCTCAAAGAGCCTCTAATCGTTGGGAAAAGACGAGTAAGAAAAGGCTGCTAAAATCTCAGGGCTGCCCTTCTGGAAAACAGTATGGACGATTCTCAAAAAATTAGAAATTGAGCTCCCATTTGACCCAGCAATACCACTCCTGGGAATATATCCCAGAGAGGCAAAAATGTATAGTCGAAATGACATCTGTACTTGTTTGTTCATTGCAGCACTCTTTACAATAGTCAGAAACTGGAAGAAACCTGAATGCCCCAGAACAGATGACTGGTTAAAGAAACTTTGGTACATCTACACAATGGAGTACTATGTAGCTGTTAGAAAAGATGAAGTCATGAAATTTACATACAAGTGGTACAACATAGAAAGTATCATGCTAGGCGAAATGAGTCAGAAAGAGAGGGATAGACATAGAAAGATTGCATTCATCTGGGGGATATAAAGTAACAAAATATGAGGTTAATACCCAAGAATAGCTGAGATCAGCACCAGGAGGATTACTCCATAGCTTAGAGGCCAGCCGGGCATTCTAGGGGAAAGGGCAGCTCAGATAGAGAAGGGAGCACCAAATAAAGGGTGTTTGGAGGATCCTCCCAGGAGGGGAGATGCATGTTGAAAGTAGACTATGGACTGAACATGTTTGCCACTCAATGCCTCTTTTGCAGACCACAACACCCAAAAGGAGAGAGAGAACAAAAGGGATTGCCCTGCCACAGAGGCAGGGTGGGATGGGGGGGATGGGGGTGGGAGGAATATTATACATGGTGGTGGAAAATGGGCACTGGTGGAGGGATGGGTATTTGATCATTGTATAATCGAAACCCAAGCACAAAAAATTGTAAATCTACAACTGTACCTCATGGTGTTTCACTAATTAAAAAAAAAAACCAATCTCAGGGCTGGGAGGAATAGAGACGTTGCTGATGCCTGCTTACGTAAATCGATGATCAACAGGATGACAGTGTCAGTGACATCAAAATGTGGGTAGAGGAAATGAACAGATACTTCTTGGAAGAAAACACACAGATAACTAATAGATGTAGGGAAAAGTTCTTATTACTGTCACTGTCACTGTCCTCCCATTGTTCATTGATTTGCTCGAGCGGGCCCAGTAACGTTGTGAGACTTGTTACTGTGTTTGGCATATCGAATGTTACTGTGTTTGGAATATCAAATACGTCACAGGGAGCTTGTCAGGCTTTGCCGTGCAGGCTAGATACTCTCGGTAGCTTGCCAGGCTCTCCGAAAGGGGCGGAGGAATAGAACTTGGGTCGGCCGTGTGGGCCACGTGCAAGGCAAACACCCTGCCGCTGTGCTATCTCTCCAGCCCCTTATTATTGATTATAAGGAAAATACAAACCAAAACAGCAGTGAGAAACCATCCACATTAGTGAGAGTAGCCTATATAAAAATGACTGGAAACAGGCAGCTCTGCTGGTGAGGATGCTGTGAGAAAAGAATATTCATTCACTATTGGTGGGAATGTAAACTGACTGACCCTCTATGGAAATGGTATACAGACTTCCCAAAAATTAGTAATAGAACTTCTACATGGCCCTGAGATTCCAATCACAAAAGCATCAATTCAAAATGATATATGCTCACCTATGTCTCTTGCAGCACTATTTATATTAGCCAACATATGGAAACTATCCCCGTATCCAATGGCTGATGTATGAATATAGAATTTGTGGTATACAAATGGAATACTACTCAGCTATAAGAAAAGATAAAACGTCTTTTGCTACAACTTGGATGGATCTAAAAGGCATAATGTTTGACAAAATTAATCAGACAGGGAAGGATAAATACCAAATGATCTTATCCACCTGTTGTATATTAAAACAGCAACAAAGGAATGAACAGCAGCTAACGACAGTCCCTTGGATTTTGAATACAGAATTGAATCAGAACTGTGGTCAGGGCGGGAAGGAAGTGGGTGAGGGACTGGGGAATATGTTAGAGGCTGGACTAGAAGTAACACCAAGACAGTACTCTCGTGATTGTGGAAAGGCAATTTATTTGGTACACCATAGGTATGAACTTGAATACTTTTATAACCATGTTACTTAAACTATATAAAAATTTTAATGTTTTTTTCATCTACAGTATTAGTTCTGGGTAACTCAGTGGTAGAGCACTTGTTTTGCATGTGAGATTCTGGGGTCAATCCCTGACCCTATCCCTCCTCCCTACATGATCACTTACACACATAATATCATAAGTAATTTCAAATGGGAGTCATAGAATGAGAGAAGATAATTGTTAAACCGACATCTAAAAAGTGGTTTATTCATACAAAAGGAACTAGAAAAATAAGGATAAAGTGCAAGTGTCAGACAGTGGAGATAGTTCAAGTGATAGATAAGGTACCTAGCAGGTACAGGACTCTGAGTTCACAGTTTGCTTCCCAACCTCAGCACCCTTGGGCTGTAGACCTTATAAAAACGCAGATATTCCAAGGAGAAAAACACACAAAAATCTTGGCAATCACTTCACAAGAATATACCATTAATGGCTGATAAAATGTGAAATTATGCTATATTTAATTCATAAAATGTTAAAGTTACAAAGTGATATCACTCCAGAGTAATTAAAATTAAAATACAATATTAGATGTTGACTAGGTTACATAGAAACTGAAACTTTCGTTCATTGCTGCTTTTGGTAAAAAAATGTATTTGAAAAGCTAAATATAGCATTTGCAGAAGCTCCATATATGTATAAATTTTAGTACACAATAATTCATGTCCTAGGAATATATTTAATATATATAAAATATATTAACATACATTAAATATACTTAACATATATTAATACATATTAAATATAGAACACATAATCACCAAAAGCCATCTACAAAATGTTCATTGCATTCATTACTTGAAATAGCCCCAAACTAGAAAGTCCCATCAACTGGATGAATAAACAAATTGTGTGGTGATAGCTAATTGATAGTAGAATGCAACAAGCATACAATCAATTGAAACAAATATAACAGATGAATTTTACAAGTATTGTAATTTTACTCTATATGTCCATTGATATAAAAGTTTAGATAAAGATCTCAAAGAAAACCAAAACAATGATTAGTCAGAAAAGTTCCTGTTTTAAAGGAGGAAAGTGGTCACAAGATATTGGGAATCTGCTTCTGGTAACATTTTAGTTTTAATTTAGGTTCTGTTTATAGGTGTTCACTGTGAATGTTCTTTGAGTTATATGCTTTTGATTTGTGTCCCTTTGTGATGTAAATATAAATATAAATTATTTTGTAAAATGGTGAATAACTTGTTGATTGAATCAAACAAGAAACTCACAAGTCTGGACATAGTTCAAAGGGTTATGAGGCAAACTTCCCTGCTGTAGACCCAGTTCATTCCAAGCACTTGCACGGTCCAGGCCCCACCAAGCACCATCAGAAGCAAACTGATTACCATCACCAAAAAGTCACCTGAGGGGCTGGAGCAATAGCACAGAGGGTGGGGCATTTGCCTTGCATGCAGTGATTCCTGAGTGCAGAGCCAGGAGTAAATCCTGTGCATCGCCGGGTGTGACCCAAAAAGCCAAAATAAATAATAAATAAAAAGTTACCTGAATAACACCAGGAGCAACCTCCAAGCACCAAGCCAGCAGTAGCCCAGGAGCACTCCCCTGTGCTTAAACAAAACACAAAACTGACAAGAGAATTCTTTGTGAACTCAAAAGATATTTATGAAGAACATACCATTTTAGTTTGCTCTGAAAAGTAGTAATTTCACTGTAAATTAATTGGCCAAAATTTTCTTAAATTTCTAAATAGTTAAGAACTTGAAGTACAATTGGGAGATCTTCTGTGACTTAAAAGAACAGTGTACATACTTTTGTAATTATTTGGAATTAAATGGTAAATACTACTGCTATAGTAAATCTGAACGCCTGGTGGCGCTGCAGGCTAGGCGTTTGTATGAAGGGCTCTGGATATCCGGGGCGCCATTAAGCCCAGAATCAGAACTCGGAATGCTTCCTAGAATCAGCAAGCATTTTAGGTAAGTCCCCCGAGTTAGAGCTCTGCAGAGAGGGCATTGTTCTAATGCAAGGCCGTGAGAAAGGCCTAATTCAAGTTTATTTAGCGAACCATCTGGATTGATTGTAAACCGGATAAGAGAAACTGCACGTCTCTGACGGAACCTGAAGGATGGAGACTACGCTAGCCAAAACGTCATGGAAAAGGCAAGTTATCTTTCTTGTTATATTATTGCTTTTGTGGGAGGCTGGCTCTGAAACGATTAAGTATTCCCTGCTAGAAGAAACAGAAAGTGGCTACTTTGTGGCCAATCTGGCAAAAGATCTTGGGCTCACTGTGTGGGAACTAGGCGCTCGGGGAGCGCGAATCCATTACAAAGGAAACAAACAGCTCTTGCAGCTCAATACAAAGACAGGGGATTTACTTCTATACCAAAAACTAGACCGAGAGGTGCTGTGTGGAGAGATGGATCCCTGTATTCTGCATTTCCAATTGCTACTGGAAAACCCTGTGCAGTTTTTTCAAGTTGATCTGCAGCTCATAGATATAAACGATCATTCTCCTGAGTTCCTAGAGAAAGAAATGCTCCTAAAAATTCCGGAAAGTGTCCTGCCAGGAACTGTGTTTCCTTTGAAAATAGCTCAGGACATCGACATAGGTAACAATACTATTCAGAACTATGCAATAACTCCAAACTCCTATTTTCATGTTGTCACTCATAATCGCGGAGATGGTAGAAAATATTCAGAACTGGTGCTAGACAAAGCGTTGGACCGGGAAGAGCTGCCGGAGCTCAGTTTAACGCTCACGGCATTGGATGGTGGGACTCCCCCCAGATCAGGGACCACAGCACTCCGCATTGAGGTCATGGATATTAATGACAATGCCCCTGAGTTTCTACAGTCACTCTATTCAGTACAAATACCCGAGAACAGTCCTCTTAACTCCTTAATTGTCACTGTGTCCGCCCAAGATTTAGATGCTGGAACATATGGAAAAGTAGCCTACTCTCTATTCCAAGGTGATGATGCCACCCAACCCTTCGTAATAGACAATATAACAGGAGAAATTCGTTTGAGAAGGGCATTGGATTTCGAGACAACTAGATACTATAACTTGGAAATTGAAGCCACAGATGGTGGGGGTCTCACAGGAAAATGTACTGTGGCAATAGAGGTGCTGGATGTGAATGACAATGCCCCAGAGCTGACCATGTCCACACTCACCACATCCACCCCAGAAAACTCACCAGAAACTGTAGTTGCTGTTTTTAGCGTTTCTGATCAAGATTCTGCGGACAACGGAAGGATGGTTTGTTCCATCACAGATGATCTCCCTTTTCTCTTGAAACCAACATTCAAGAATTTTTATACACTAGTAACAGAGCGCCCGCTGGACCGAGAGAGCCAGGCAGAGTACAACATCACCATCACGGTGACAGACATGGGCACCCCCAGGCTGCAAACAAAGCACACCATCACAGTGCTAGTGTCCGACGTGAACGACAACGCCCCCGCCTTCAGCCAGCCCTCCTACACCCTGCTGGTGGGCGAGAACAACAGCCCCGCACTGCACATAGGCAGCGTGAGCGCCACTGACCCGGACGCAGGTAGCAACGCCCAGGTGACCTACTCGCTGCTGCCTTCCCAAGACCCACAGCTGCCGCTCGCCTCGCTGGTGTCCATCAACGCCGACAACGGGCAGCTGTTCGCGCTGCGCTCGCTGGACTTCGAGATCATGCGCGCCTTCGAGTTCGGCGTGGGCGCGTGGGACCGCGGCTCGCCCGCGCTCAGCAGCCAGGCGCGGGTGCGCGTGCTGGTGCTGGACCGCAATGACAACGCGCCCTTCGTGCTGTACCCGCTGCAGAACGCGTCGGCGCCCTGCAGCGAGCTGGTGCCCAGGGCGGCAGAGGCGGGCTACCTGGTGACCAAGGTGGTGGCGGTGGACGGCGACTCGGGCCAGAACGCCTGGCTGTCTTTCCAGCTGCTCAAGGCCACGGAGCCCGGGCTCTTCAGCGTGTGGGCGCACAATGGCGAGGTGCGCACTGCGCGGCCGCTCAGCGAGCGCGACGCGCCCAAGCACAGGCTGCTGGTGCTGGTCAGGGACAATGGCGAGCCGCCACTGTCGGCCAGCGTCACGCTGCACGTGCTGCTGGTGGACGGCTTCTCGCAGCCCTTCCTGCCGCTGCCCGACGCGCCGCCCGACGCGCCTTCCGATGACCGCCTCACAGTCTACCTGGTGGTGGCCTTGGCCTGCGTGTCGTCGCTCTTCCTTTTCTCCGTGCTGGCCTTCGTGACCGTGCGCCTGTGCAGGCGGGCCGGCCCGCCCGCTGGGGGCCCCTACCCGCTGCCCGACGCTCACTTCCCGGGACATCTGCTGGACGTCAGTGGCGCTGGGACCCTGTCGCACAGCTATCAGTATGAGGTGTGTCTGGCGGGGGGCGCTGGCATGAATGAGTTCAAGTTCCTCAAGCCCATTCTGCCCACCTTCCCGCCCCAGGACACTGGCGAAGCAGCAGAGGAAAACCCCACCTTTAGGAATAGCTTTGGGTTCAATTAGGAATCTAACCATGATACGTGTTTTGGACATTATCTCTCAGTTTCCTCGAGATTTTGTGAGAGTATTATGGGCAAAAATTCCACCTATAGATATTTCCCTTTTGTAATTAACTAGTGAACTATATTTTATCTTGTCAAATTTTGGGAAATTCAATTCTACTCATTACATTGATTTCACAATACCATTATAAATCCACCCACGCTATAGATTTTCCTTATCTTTGCTCTGATTTGTTGCAAAAAGCTGTCTTGATACAATAAAATAAATATAATTTCCCGTCTGTATTCTATCCATCTAAACAGTCCTTTTAATATTTTGTGTAAAATATTCAAAATGGTTTTTCAGTTTTTATTTTGATAGATATTTGCATAGAGAGCACTGCATGTCAGAAACTTAACATTTAATGATTTTTAATAAGTATTTGACAATGGGCTAACAAATGACAACAAGGCTAATTAAAATAGGTAAAGATGGTTGCTTTTATCATTTTAACATGCAAATAAAAAATAAATCGAGTTTGGAACAATGTACTTTTTCTGTATATAATACTAGGGGATGAAGCCGGTAAGCCTTTCACATGACCAACTCATTTCTTACCCTATGTGGTCTGCTGAGCCCATAAGTAAGTGATCTTTAAGCTCAAGCCAAGAGTAAGCCTTAGGCACCACTTGCTGTGGCCCCTAAAAGCAAAAAAGAAGGAGGATGTCTCGATAAAGGAATTGTGGTATATATACACAATGGAATACTACTCAGCTAAAATAAAATATAAAATCATTCAATTCTATGCCACATGGATGGAACTAAAGGGTATAATATTGAATAGAGCTAGTTAGAAGGACAGATATATTCTCTCTCATATGTGGAATATAATTAAACATTGTATAGGAACATCAAATAATCAAAGAAAACAAAACTTGAGACTTGGTCTACACAACTGAGCTTACCTGGGGGTGGGGCAGTTTGGGGTAGTTTCTGGACACTGGTGAGTGAAGTCTGTGGGTATGGTGTTAAACTGATGTATGTATGAAACTGTCACTCATGGTATTGTTAATCAAAGTATTAAATAAAAACTGGACGAAAACATAAACATGGTTTACTATATGCTGTCTGCTAAGAAGTTCACTTCAATATTATATAGGCAAATTGAAAGTAAAAATATGGGGTAATAAAATAGTGCACAGTATTCATACAATGATAAATAATGTACATGTAATAGCAAAAAAGATATCTCCCCACTGCAAAAATAAAGAGGCAGAGTTGTATATTAAATAATGATAAAATAAGAATACATAACAATTCTTATATATGTACACTAAATACTAGAGCTGCAAATATTTGAAGCAAAATAAAATGATGCTGAAAAAAGAAGTCCATCAAATTTCTGACTTAAACCTGGATTAAATTCCCATTACTGCACTGAGATGAAGGTAGTTATTGAGCACTGCTGGGTGTGGCCCAAAATCCAAAAGTAAACAAGCAAATAAATAAAATTGGAGACATCAACATCCTCTCTCAACAATTGTTAGAATTAGGCAGAAAATCAGCATAAATAGAGAAAAACCTAACATCATCATTAACCTGTAGGAGCTAATGTATTTATAGAAAAACTAGCCAATGGCCATAAAAACACTATTTTCGTAAGATCGCTGTACCACTGTATCACTGTCATCCTGTTGTTTATTTATTTGCTCAATGGGCGCTAGTAACGTCTCCATTCTTCCCAGCCCTGAGATTTTAGCAGCATCTCCTTACTCGTCCTTCCCAACGGTGCTGCATTGGAGGCTCTCTCAGGGTCAGGGGAATGAGACCCATTATTGTTACTGTTATTGGCATTAATCAAATATGCCATGGAAAGCTTGCCAAACTCTGTCGATTTTTTTTGTAAGATAGAATGCATAAACAGATCATACTACAAATTTCAACCCACTTAGAGGAATTGAAATCTGTATTTCACTGTGGATTCTCCAGCCACAATAGACTAAAGCAATAGTGAAAACATAACAGAAAATTCTTCAAACAGTTGGAAATTAAGTGAGACATCAAATGAAGTCATGTATCAAAAATAACACCTCAAATGAGATGAAAAATATGTTGAACTTGATTGAAAATACAAATACAACAAATGATTTATAAGACACAGCTAAAGCTGTGTAGAGAGGGAAATTTATAAACCTACAGACATATGTAAGAAAAGAATTAAAGTCTCAGATAAATAATTGACACTCCCACCTCAAGAGTCTAGAGGAATACAAAGAAAATTAACCCACAGAGACTGGAAAATGGCTCAAAAAGTATAACACATGCTTTGCATGTGAGAGCGTTTGATCCCTAACACTGTATGGTCCCCCAAACATACTCCATTGCCTGGAGTAGTATTTTAGAAAAAAATAAAAATCATGCTCCCCCCACTCTGAGCAAGGGGGAGGAAAAAAGAAGAAACCAGTGAAACTTAAGACAAAAATAAAGAGAGTAAATATTAAATAATATGTTGGTTTATTTAAAAAAATCAACAAAGTCAGCAAAAATTCAGTAAAAGTGGCAAAAATATCTTATTCCCCAGTCATTTGAGATATCAAATGTATTTCACAAAAGGTAATAATAGTTGATAACTTTCAGAATTAGATGTCCCACTGTGAGATTATTTATATTTTTCCCTAAATATTGTTTTTTCTTCAAATATAACTAAATTAAAGAAAACCCATTAGAGGTTCAATCTGTCCTGAAAAATTAGTCTTTCATTAAAAACTTGAAGAATTTTTAATGTTATAATGAATAGAACAGAACATGAATATGTGTAGCATAAATGATAAAACCTGCTTGATCAGTTATGTAACCATTTTAAGTAAAACTAGCTTTATAGTGTTCCGTGAATTAAATTAATTTCAACTCACAGATAGTCCAGCATTTAAATAATTTTAAAACTTATTACTTAATTTTAGCATACATAAGTACAAAAAGCATTAACACTGCCAGCCTTTCCCTATTATGTATAGAGATCAAGGTTTATTATATAACGCTTAAAGTTTCATTTCATTTCATTTCATCATCCTGTTATTCGTCGATTGCCTCGAGCAGGCCCCAGTAACGTCTCTTTCATCCTAACCCTGAGATTATATATTCAAGGCTCTTTAGGAGAATGAGACCCATCATTGTTACTGGTATTTGGCATATTTGGTACGCCACGGGGAGTTTGCCAGACTCTGCCGTGTGGGCAGGCTACATTCGATAGCCTGCAAGTTTGTCCAAAGTAGGAATGAGATAATAAGATGTCATAAAATGATTCGCGGCCACGCGGTTCCGGGAGCTGGATTTTATAGTCTCTGAGTCTTGGCCATTGATGGGATTACAGGGCGTCAGGGGACCAGGTGGTGGGTGTGACCCCCGCCTACTGGAATTTGGAGGATCTGGGTGGAGGATGCTCGACTCCAATCCGAGTAGGCTGGGAGATCTCGGCCCCGGTACCCGCGTGGATTTGTCCCTCTGTTCTAAGCGTTTGGCAGAGAACGCTTAAAGTTAATGTTGAAAAATATGAACAAATAAATGTTCTATATATATTGAATGAGATGTGATTTAAATGAATAAATCAACTTGTTCAAATTGGTGCAGCAAAGGTTTCTGAAGTTTATATAAATAGCTATACATAGGGCTGGAGAGATAGTATGGGGTAAGGAGCTTTGCCTTGTATGCCGTTAACCAGGGTTGAATTCATGGTACCCTATGTGGTCCCCTTAGCCCCACCAGAATGCAGAGTCAGGAATTTGTCTGAGTACTGTTGGGTAAGACCCCAACAAAAGAAAAGAAAATAGCTATACAAAAGTAAACACTGATTGTAAAGCATAGAGTGAAGAATTCATATAACTGCGAAGAGAAGTAGATTCACTATTAAGATTGGAGACTTCAACACTCTCTCTCAACCTCTTATAATAAAAACTAGACAGCATAGCTCAAGGTATAATGAAACAAGCTAATACTGTGAAGCTAGGAAAAATTATACGAAAATGTTTATGCTGTTTATATTACGTATATGTAAAACTTTTGTCAAAATAAGCCCATTAAATATTTGTTCCTTGAGAAACATGTTTATAAAAAATATAGTCAATTCAATTCTATTAAAGCAAAAGAGGGTAAAATAGAGATGCATCCTCCTAAAGCAATCTATTGTAATCTACTTTCCAAGAAAAGGTAATATTTCCTCATATAAACCTGAGGCCATTTGGGGGACTATTAAGATGTTAACTTTTTAACAACACATTTTAAATACATTATACTACTAATAAAATTTTCTTTAAAATGAAAAATAATTTTAAAAATGATAGGTAGCACTCTAGAAGAGAATAAATCTCAGGATGCAGAAATCAGATTAAGCTAGTATCAGAATGCCCACAGAAAGAAGTAGTTAGGATTGAGTTGGAAGCAGCTTTGTTGGTGGCAGTGCAGGATAAACTAAACCTATTCAAGATATTTGTAAATGTTGATTTTATTTCATCAGTTTATTTTTTTATTTATATCAAGGAAGACTGTTCATAGTAATATTTATCAAGTGAGCTATGGAGTTTGATCCCAGTGACCCAATTCTTTAATCTCTAGAGAGAAATACCTTTCAAACATAAAATGATTTTTATCTGTTCATGCCTTAAATTTTATTTAGCTCTTTATTTTACATAGAATTGAGGTATTTGAAAATATTCTTAGTATTTAGTCTTTTATTATTTTGGCTTTTACCTAAAGTTAATTTTACTTTAATTCAACTGACTTCCCCTCAATAAATCTGAGCTAAATGTGGAATTTATTATGCTTTGGATATTTTTGTGTTGTAGGTATTCATTAATGTGATATATTTTATACTTTTTCATTTTTCTGAAAAAATTCTAAGAAGTATGGAAATAGCTATAATGGGCCATCACCGAAATCTGTGGCATCCAATCAAGTATAAGCCATATTATCTGTATTGCAAACCACAATGCCCAAAATTAGAGAGAGTAAGAAGGAAAGTACCTGCCACAGAGGCAGGAGTTGGGATTGGTTGGGGATGGTGAGAAGGACACAGAGAAGAATGATGGTGGTAAATGTGCACTGGTGGAGGGATCAATGC